ACTATGGAGTCCGTTTTACTATAGGCGGTAGAGGGCGCTCTGTAACGTATTCTTTACGCATTAAAATAACAATAACTTTTCTGACAGTACACTTTTTGGCTTTTTGAATAAAAATTCTTACTCGCGGTACTTTTTTAAGCAAAAATAGTACTCTTATCAAAATGCGCTAAAGTTGTTTTCAACATAATCCGCTTTTTATTATTCGATATAGACCAATTTTTTTAGAGGATTGTTAAAGATAAGTATAATAAGATAGAATAATGTTTACCATTGAAACAAAGTAGGTAAGTTCACTAACTAAACATGTTTAAGTTTATTGTATCAAGTGTCAAATCACCAGTAGTTGTTGATCAGAGTGTTAAATTAATTTTTCTTATTCGTTAACGTGTTAAATTCAATTTTCTTATTTATTAACGTGGTAAATTCATTACTCTTTTTCCTAATTGTGTTAAATAGTTTTTTGTTCATTTTTTGATTTTTTGTTTACTGCATAAAAACTTTATAAAATGCCGTGTATTTTTCCTAACCAAGAGTTAGCGAATATTCATTTTGTTTATCGGTTTGCAAACGGAAATTCAGCAGAAGTAGCCCTAGAGTATAGGAGAAGATATCCAAATAGAAGACATCCGTCCGCATCCTTCTGTGTTTGTGAAACTACATAGACAAATAGATGAACAACAAGGGTTAAATAACGACGGGTAGATCGTAATAATGACAATGTTAGGCTGCAAAGAAACTTTAGAAGAAGAATTTTGCGTGACTTCGACAGAGAGCCCAATACGAGTATTAGAAGAGTTTCGAATGCCTTACAAATTTGTATGGCCCGTGTTTATCGTCTCTTAAAAAATGTCATAGACATGCTTATCATTTACAATCCTTGCAAAGATTGCAACCAGGCGATGAAGAACGGCGAGTAAGTGTTTCACAAGACGTAGAATTGTAAATTTTCACAATTTACATGTTTTGGTATCCATATGCAATTCGGTTACGAAACTTTCAACATAAATTTAGTGTCAAAGTCTGAGTAGGTGTTTACAATAATCATCTTTTCGGGCCATACTTTTTGCCACCACAACCAACCGCTGCTGTGGCGTTCTTGCAATTTTTGGTAGCTGAACATGCCAATATGTGGGATGACATTGATTTAGCTTTAAGAAGAAAGGCCTGGTTTCAACTTGATGGTTGCGCAGCTTTTCATGGTAGGGTGGTAAGAAATTGGCTAGACAACCATTTTCCTGCAAGATGGTCGCATGGTCCCACCATCTGCAGATCTTAATGGTTTAGACATTTTTTGTGTGGAGATATTTGAAAAAAACTTGTATAAGACAGACTTGTATAGGATTAGGAATGCTTGTAATGACATAAGGCCGTTCTTAAACACCATTACTCGATCAGTAATTCGTCGATAAGAATTATGCTAGCAAAATTTTTTACATTTTCAACAATTTCCTTATTTTTTTTCTTTTATTATTTACACTAAAAAGCATTAATAAACTAAAACATTAGTTAATTTACCTACTTTGTTTCCATGGCACACATTATTTTAACTATCTTTAACTATCCCTAAAAAAATGGTCTGTGTCGAATAATAAAAAGCGGATTATCTTGACCATCAACTTTAGCGCATTTTGATAAGAGTACCCTTTTTGCTTAAAAAAGTACAGAGAATAAGAATTTTTATTCAAAATGCCAAAAAGTATACTGTCAGAAAAGTTATTGTTATTTGAATCCGTAAAGAATACGTTACAGAGCGCCCTCTATCGGCTATAATAAAACGGACTCCAATCGTCTTTCTCATGCCAAAAAACCTCCGTATACCAAATTTGAATAGAATCGGTTGAAATACACGTGTAATATTAAATAAAAATCAATTTAAAATTTTTATTTGAACACCCTGTATCTCCAAAACAAAGCGTTTGTCGACCTATGTTTATATGATGTTTTTGTGTTAATTTTAAAAGATCTATCCACTGTTAAAGTCCTGCTACAAAAACCTGAAACACCCTGTATATATATGTCTACTATTATTAATACTCAAAAATCAAAAAACAGTACTTTGTAAGGTGACGACCGGAATACAATTTGCAGAACAGGTTTTGAAAATTTGGACTTTATTGCAATGTGTTCGATGTGTGACTAAATTTAATAACGACAATAAAGGTGTGTTAATGCGCAGATGCAAGGATTTCCAAAATCTGGTTTTACAAAAATTTCAAAAAATATCGTTGTTTATTAAATTCGATGTTTTCGTTAATTAAAAGTTCTTTATTATTGAGATAGTTTTTGTGAATGTAGAACTCTTCTAATATGTCGAATGTTTTAGATTTATTAATTCTTTTAATCATTTGGTCGATATTGGTATTATGAACATTATCCGAAAGGTGTCTGCATACGGCCGATGATTGTTTAGTTACGTGTTCTCTAAACCTGGTCTTAAGATTACGCCCTGTCTGTCCGATGTAAAACTTCTCACAGTCAGCGCATTTAAGTTTATAAACACCACTCATATCCAGTGGTGAAAATTTATGTTTGTTGTTAATTATACATTTACTAATCAAAGAGTTGTTCGAAAAGGAGGCTGTCAAATTGAACTTATTTATAATGCGTGGTATCTGAGGTATGTATGGCAAAGATATACAGGGTGAGTCAGAAAGAATGGGAAATCCGAATACCGGAGACACTAGACACCAAAATATGACGATTTAACCTAACATGTCTTATAGAAATGTCGGTGGTTTTTAATACACAGGGTGTTGAAAGTTAAATTTTTATTTCGAAATTTCTTGATAATTTTGAAGGTTTTTGTACTATTAACATAAAATTTGGTAGTTAGATGTTTTCGAGCATGAGAAATACGAATTTGATATTTGTTTTGTGATTACTCGTAGAGGGCGCTAGATACACACTGTACGTTTGAGATATCAAGTCATGACTATTTTGTCAGTTGAGGTATGGTGAATTAGAACCAGAAATCTGAAGGAGTTTTCAATTCTGCACAAAAAAGGTACTCTTGCTTACATTGTCTAAGTCTACTGGTTTCCAAGTTATCTGCTTTTAATTGTTTCAAAGTAATTTTAAGGTTAACATTTAAAATCAATAACACACAGTAACTATAGCAATTAGTAACGATAATAATCGATAACAATAACAATTAATTAATAACAATAGAATATTGTGACCATTTTCAAAAATCCAGTGGACTTAAATCTGGATTTCTCACTATTAAAAAACTCATTATGTCGTGGCATTTTCAAATTGGTAATAACTTTATTGTTGGTAAAAATGATTATTGCACACGGAAATTAGATCAATGTTGACAATTAACAGGCAATTGTCGAAACATAAGCGGAAAAATAACCCAACTTTGCTTATGTTAAAAAATAAATATTTTAGAAGAAAAAATACATTTAAACATTTAAAAGTAAATAATTCGAAAACCGATAGACTTAGACAATTTCAATAAGAGTACCTTTTTTATGTAAAATTGAATGCTCTTTGTGATTTGCAGCTCTTATTGGTCGTAGCTGTCGAGCCAAAAAACTTATGATTTGATTTATCAAACGAGCAGCGTGTATCTAGCGCCCTCTACGAGCAATAACAAAACAAGTTTCAAATTCGTATTTCTCATGCTCGAAAACATAAAACTACCAAATTTTATGTTAATAGTACAAAAACCTTCAAAATTATCAAGAAATTTCGAAATAAGAATTTAACTTTCAACACCCTATGCCTCGAAAACCACTGACATTTGTATAAGAAATGTTACGTTAAATCATCATATTTTGGTGTCTAGTATTTCCGATATTCGGCTTTCCCATTCTTTCTGACTCACCCTGTATATTTATTGACTTTATTAAAGTGAGGATAAATTAATTTAATAATATTGGAGTGATGCACTTTATTAAAAACATTTTGTATATCCGCTATGTTGTATTTGTTATTTAAACCTATTTTTATTATTCTATTAAGCTCCATGATGTAATCGTTATGGTTTAATGGGATTCTGTTAATATCTTTCATCGTTTTTAAACAGTGTTTTTTTTTGGAAAAATTCACATCTATAGTTATTTCGATCTGGTTGTTTGTTTGTTGATTTGTTAATAACTAAGACAATTTTTTTTTAATTGGCAACTACCAATTGCTGCTTCCTTTGTATCTTTTATAGATTTTCAAATTTATCGTCGTATTTATAGTCTTTCTGTACAACTTATTTTATAGAAGAAAATAGGCTATAAAATGTATAATTTATTTAATAGAAAACGTGATGCCAACAAAGTGTAATATAAACGATTAGTAAATTGATATAACTGTGTCCAAAATTGGGTTTTAATGGAATCACCTAATATGGATTAGTATGCGTGCGTGTTCGGCAAACATCCCGAAATATAAACCGTTCTCACTAAAATTGGTTTTGTCCTCTCCTGATGGAGTATTCCAGGCTACACGAAAACGTCCGACACCCTCCACCTTCCCTACACGAATGAAGCTCGTAAATCCCTGCAGGACGCTTGCGCACCCTCAACTTCGATCGTTAACGTCAATAGGGCTTTTTCTCTATCCATGTTATCGGCTAAAGCGATGCCGTATCGACTGAACCACCAGAGACTTCAAAGACAAAGAAGGAAAAATAATTCCTTAAAAAAGTTATTAAAACTTAAATAAAGAATTATTTTAGACATAACTTATTTAATAAATGAGATGGATTTGTTTTATTATTTCATTTAAAGAAATAAAAAAGTTTTTTAATAAAAAAAATCTATTTAAATTTCCTTTCTTTGTTGATCGAGCGAAAGGATTTGAAGAGAATGAAGGCAAAGAAGGAAGTAGAAAAGAAGTTGTGTTCGTGGAGTCTTGGGGAACAAGAGGCACAGTCAAAACAGTTTCCTGTGTAAAAGGGAGGGTTTTGGGGTGAGCGCGGGATCTGGGAAGGGATGGCAAAGGTCTGGTGCGCAGTATCGGTACTGGACCCAGCGCTTTTGGCCGGTTAAAGGCCCGAAGAGTTTCTGGCTGTGTTGTGCGAGACGTTAAACGCGCGCGAGCGTCGCGATGCACACTGAACTTGGATCTGATAGACGACGTACTACGTTCTTGGCATCGCCGTGATAACATTAACCTGCGAGTGACCGCGATTACATTTATATTATTTTTAACGTGTTTTAAAGTGACGATGGCAATAGTTATCTTTTAAATTCTGTTTATAATATTTAGTTCAACAAATAACACAAAATTAAAGTAGAACGATACAAGTTAAGAGTGCTGACTGTTCGCGTTCTAACACGTTTTTAGTGATAGTGCTTAAAAAAACTTTACCGGCGAAAATTGGTACCTAGAGACCTGACTGGTTTATTCCACTGTGAGTATCCAATTTAATTAATTACAGTGTTGCGTTTCAATTTTAATGGGTTGTTTATTCATAATCAAATTTTTAAATTAAAACTTTAATAATTATTAATTAGGGGTTGATTTTCTCATTCATCTATCCACTTTAAAATCCAAATTGTGACTGCAATAAACTATATATGTACATATTTAACTTATTTAATTCATCAAAATTTACCTTGCATATTTCGTTTGTTTTAAACAAATTCATCTAATTAAAGAATCAGTTTATTTCTGAAAGATCTAAAGCTTTGCCATTTGAGTTTATCTCCACAGGTTCTAACAAGGAGATAAATCAATTAATAACCCATTGTTATCGGAAACGTCTTCGCAGGAACACCAGTTTACCAGCTCCCGCTTCCCAAACAAACGGTTAATTGACAGATGTTACCCTTCTGAACGATCACCTGTCAAGAGACGGTAAACTACGAACCTAAAGTATTGCAGAAAGAACATTAATTTAGACCCAACAAATCTTCGTATAGTTACATTCATTTTTATCATTCTAATTAATTTTTATTCGATCTAGGAGTTAGATTACATCTTCTATTACAGACCTCTATTATAGATAAATGAAATACAATCCTTACCTTGTAATTAGAGTTATATTCCGCATTTTTTTATTTTTCTATGGCATTGTAAACATTTATTAGAATAAATTCCCATAGTAATAATTCAAATAAATTAACTTTCAAGAAAATCTCCAATCGGAACTTTGCATAGTAACAAAGTTTACTACCTGCTATGCTGGGTATGGTAATCTGAAAGGATTGTGCAGGTGTACGAATCGTTAAGAGGTGTATAAGCCTCATACATATATCTTTATTATTAAGATAACCCTAAAATTTATGTTAATCTTGAAAGGCAGCTGAGAAGTCCAAGACACCACCGCTGGCCATAAAACAAGATTGCCTGACGGAATTTTTAATAATGCCTCGACAAACATTTTATATCACCTACTGCAGACAGCTCAAAGTTACATTGTACCGCTAACGAGGTAAATGAAAAATGTCTCAGACGAACATAGTACGTTTTTCAAATAAACTTTGTCCCACTTATACGTTTTAACAGCTTTGTACAGTGCAGATGTCTTAACCATTTATTACCCAGAAACCGCATTGAAGCGGTGGTAACCCCCTGGTGTGGGGAGACCTTATATTTTTAATATTACCCGTCAATTTCGTTCATAAATAAGGGGACGGAAATAATATAATAACGACGTCTCAAGTGAAAAGGGGAAGTGACACTTTCGACAATGAGAAGTGGGGTCTTCTCACTTCACTGGCGGTCAATATTTTTTTACTACACTTGGTACGCTAAGAAACCTAGTAAAGATAACCCCTCAGCTAACATCTTCAGTACGAAACGTCTTTAAATCACCCTGATTAATATCGTGCTTAAATTTTTTAAATTCATTTATAGGATCGAATTCAATATTTATACGTTCATTAATATTTCATAAATAGATTCCAGTTATTTATAATAATAGTTTCATTTATCATTTACAAATTCAAATAAATAAAAAATATATATTACGGAGAAATTCGAAATTTCTGGTTAATTTTAAAACGTTAAATTAATATTATAATAACATTGGTCGTTGAAATAATTTTAATATGTAATAAATCATGTTCACATTACTTTTAATACGATTTTATACAGTGCGCATTAATTCATGAATGCATCGTACATAATTTCAAAATACAAATTGTTACCGTTAAGGTAAATAATTACGATAGTTAATATATATAAATAATTAATTAATATTTATAAATTAAGTATTTGTCCAAAATAAAGTATAAACACAGATTATATTATATTTGGTTCTATTGGTTTATTAAAATCAATCTTAAAATATAATCTTGGAATGTGGAATATAAGTTTGTAGAAATTGTTTTTCTATATCAACGCCTCCTTTGGTGTTAGTTTTATTTATTTATCTTTTATTATTATTGCGGTTTCCCAGAAAAGGAGTTTAAACAATTCTCAGTTGAGTACACATGTGATACTAAAAGCCAATCATACTTAAATACACTTGCTCATTGTGTAAGTGTATTTAATACATATAACTTTGGTATTACTAGAAAATATTGAAATATCAGACAAGACTGACTTTTTATTTTATTGCCAGTTTCGATAAAATTTTAATAAAAATGTTGTAAATCACAAATCACTGATAGCAAATGTGCATGGATTGTAAATTTCTCATTATGTGTTCTGTGTTATTAGGTTAGGTTTTAATATATTTGTTACAAATGTGGACAACATTTTTGTTTAAAATTTTACAATATTTTTGTCTCATTATGTTTACAAATAATTGTGCACCACAATGCAAATTTTGTACTATATAAGTTTCTGTAATCATAAGATTACTCAAATGCATGTTTCTTCGGAAGTATCATCTTCCTACTCTACGTAAATGTTGTTCATCAAGAAATCGTTGTGAATTCATTAATTGTTTGTACATCATTTCTGAAAGCACTTTTCATATAACTAAAGGCAATATCTGCCACTCTTAACGATCTACAATATTATGTCAACCTAGGCCGGAAATGGCATCAACTTGATCAAGCGGCGTCATAAATCCCCCGTTCTAAGTCTGACCAAGGCACATTAATCATAGTTGATAATATTGTTTTTTGCATCTGTAGCTGCATTATCGAGTACTTTGTACAAATTTTCCTACATCAGCAGGTATATTGGTGTTGTTATAATGATATTGTATTCAGGTTCTTTACTAATTTTATCAACACTATGTTCATTTGGCAATAAAATTACTGCCCTGTTCTTTGTATCGTTAGAAGGAGTCATATGGTTCTGGGGAAATACATAATTTTTTTCCAAAATTTGTCAACTAACTGAATATTCTTGAAAAAGTTAAGAAGTTTAGTACTACACCTTGCTCTTGATCTATTTACACATTATTTTGATTTACCAGGAAACGAGTGTTAACAATTCTCAGTTGAGAATTCATACCTAAAGATAATCTTCCTCAAATACACTTTGTTTCACAATTATCAATAAAAATTTCAAATAAATTTTAATTCTGCGAATTTGTCGTCAGCCAATCTATCCAGTGTTGCTTACGTGGCATAGTAGCTAAAAAATATCGATTTATGGTGTGCAAATTCATTATTTTAAATCAATTCCACTGGCATTTTATAACTTTTCAAAACACTTATCGTAAACGATAATCCAAAATGAGGTCATATTTCAGTAACATTTGTCGCATTCGTATTAACATCGACAATTTTTGGTGTAATATGATCTATTATGGCAATGATAAACCAGTTTTCGTTACATTCAAAGATCTACTTCTCTGATACATTAATTACATTTCAATATAATGTGATCCTTGCATAAAATAGCTGCACATCTCGCACAGCCCCTAGTCTGAATAAACCCGAACGATTTTGCAGTCACTATCAAATGGTCCAATAAAATTTGTTGTGTACATTTTTTTATCGTTTATGAACAAACATGTAAATAAGCTGCGTAGCCTATCTGGTGCGATGAGGGTTAATACAACAGATAAATTTGTTTTTGTCTTAACACAGGAGGAATCACAAATCAAAGCTCACCCCAGTTCAGTTGATTATTTTCAATTGGACAGAATCTACTTAGTGCTTCACAAACTGCAAGACTATATTTTGGGCCACAAGTTTTTGTATTAACGAGCAATGAAGATATTTCTAAAAATAATGCAGTAGAAATAAAGGGGTAAAGGTCAAACAAACTAATTGTATGTTGCAATTATCAATTAAAATCAATTAAATTCCAAGGAATTGTAAATTAGGTATTGTCATACTCCGTACATTTCAAAAGGTAAAAAATCATCAATATTATAAACATAGTCTGTGCTTGCTGTAAAAAGACATCGCTTAAATATTTATTATAGTCTGGTTATGGGATCGGCTCACATAAACCCCTATTTAAGTAAAGTCCCTTGGGTGCAATATGAATACTTAATTTTTGTGCCGTGTGCACTAAATACGACGACAAAGAAACAATATCATACTACCTCAAATACGCTTAAATATGTCGTTTTCAAATGCTCCTATATCTATCTGTAACAGTATTTTATTGTTTTTGTTATGAATTTGGCCATGGAAATTTTAGAATTAAATTGTTGTTTGTTCTTATTTGTGCATTTTGCTACGACCGATGAATCATAAAAGCTAGTAAGATATACAGCAATAAATTCAACATAGGCCTTGTGGTCAAATGAACAAATATTTTTAATTAGCACTAACTTTTCTCTTTTTTTTTTCGTGGCACAATATTAAGCACAAAGACAAACAAAAAAAGAAAACAATCTCTTTTTAGTGTACATTTTTGAACATGAAATCAATAAAAATAAATTAAAACAAACAATTGTTATTTAAATTAACAAACATGTGTAAATAATAGAAGTGAAATATTAAATTTTCTTCTCTCTCTATGCACAATAACCGAAACACTTCGGTTATTTATTTTGCGAGATACGTTTCTTAGGATTGTAGGAGATACGTTTCTAGTACATTCTCGTATAATGTTCTCAAGATGCTTAAGATCCCGTAATTTCTATGCATACACACCTCATTCTTAAGGTTCGACGTTTCGAAACAAATTTACAAAATAATTTCATACACCTCGTGTACTGTGTACTAGGGCTGAATGATTAATCATATAAAGTTGAAACTTGTGATCATATTATGCAAGCTGCGTCGGCTTTATTTGGTGTAACAATAAACTCGGCAACTCGGCCGCAAGCGACCACGATTTTATTTAAAAGTTGTTTCTTTTTCATTAAATAAGCTGAGGTTCAGTGATTAAATGAGGTCCATGAAATACAATATCTTTATTAAGGAATGAAATGACATTCGGAAAATAAGACTTTTTCAAGATTTCATAATCTTCAACCTCATTTAAGGATTTTTTATTTTCAGTTAGAAAAGTTTATATGATGTTAATCGATTCTGTTGCAGGTACATT